ATGAATGGCATTTCAGTACAGACAGATGTTGATGAAGTTTGGTTGAAGTTTGTAGTCAAAGAATGGTATTTCACATAGATGTATTTTGATGAAGATTTTTTTTTTTTTTTATGAAGATATATTTGATGAATATTTAGTTAAAGAATGTTATTTAACCACAGACAAAATTGTTGATGAAGTTTGGTTGAAGTTTGTAGTCAAAGAATGGTATTTCACACATGTATTTTGATGGTCTGTTTGGGTTAGTTAAAGAATGTTATATTAGCAAGACAATTGTTGATGAAGTTTGGTTGGTGAAATAGTTAAAGAATGGTATATCACACAGATGTATTTTGGTGAAGTTTGGAAGTTTGGTTAAATAAAGGTATTTCACACAGATGTATTTTTGATGAAGTTTGGTTGTGATAAAGTTAAAGGGTATTTCAGTACAGACAGATGTTGATGAAGTTTGTAGTTAAAGAATGGTATTTCACACAGATGTATTTTGATGAAGATTTTTTTTTATGAAGATGTATTTTGATGAATATTTAGTTAAAGAAGGGTATTTCAGTACAGAGAATTGTTGATGAAGTTTGGTTGGTGATATAGTCAAAGAATGGTATTTCAGCACAGACAAATGTTGCTGTTTGGTAGGTGAAAATAGTCAAAGAATTGGTATTTCACACACACGTATTTTGATGTTTGAAGTTTGGTTAAAGAATGGTATTTCACACAGATGTATTTAAAGTTTGGTTGGTTATTTAGTTAAAGAAAGGTATTTCAGCACAGACAATTGTTGATGAAGTTTGGTTGGTGATATAGTTAAAGAATGGTATTTCACACAGATGTATTTCATGAAGTTTGAAGTTTGGTTAAAGAATAGTATTTCACACAGATGTATTTTGAAGTTTTGTTGGTTATTTAGTTAAATAAAGGTATTTTAGCACAGAAAGATGTTCCTGAAGTTGGTCGGTGAAATAGTTAAAGAATGGTATTTCACACACAGTATTTTTGATGAAGTTTGGAAGTTTGTTAAAGAAAGGTATTTCACACAGATGTATTTTGAAGTTTAGTTGGTGATACTGTTAAAGAAAGATATTTCAGCACAGACAAATGTTGATGAAGTTTGGTTGGTGAAATAGATAAAGAATGGTATTTCACACAGACGTATTTTTGATAAAGTTTGGAAGTTTGGTTAAATAATAGTATTTCACACATATGTATTTTGGTGAAGTTTGGTTGGTGAAATAGTTAAAGAATGGTATTTACACACATGTATTTTGATGAAGTTTGGTTGAAGTTTGGTTAAAGAAAGGTATTTCACATAGATGTATTTTGATGAAGTTTGGTTGGTGATAAAGTTAAAGAAAGGTATTTTAGCACAGACAAATGTTGGTAAAGGTTGGTTGGTGATATTGTTAAAGAAAAGTATTTTCAGCACAGATGTATTTTGATGAAGTTTAGAAGTTTGATTAAAAAAAAGTATTTTTACACAGATGTATTTTGGTGAACTTTGGTTGGTGATAAAGTTTAAAGAAAGGTATTTTAGCACAGACAAATGTTGGTAAAGGTTGGTTGGTGATATTGTTAAAGAATAGTATTTTCAGCACAGATGTATTTTGATGAAGTTTAGAAGTTTGATTAAAAAAAAAGTATTTTACACAGATGTATTTTGGTGAAGTTTGGTTGGTGATAAAAAAGAAAGGTATTTTAGCACAGACAAATGTTGATAAAGGTTGGTTGGTGATATAGTTAAAGAATAGTATTTTAACAAAGCAGATGTTGATGAAGTTTTATTAGTGATATACTTAAAGAATAGTAATTTTCTGACAATATTTTGCTGCTGAAAAAAAATGGTCTTTCAGCACTGTGAATTTAAGGTTGAAAGGTATTGCATAATTTTGTCTACAATGTGAATCCCGATGTAAATTAACCCTTTTCCTTTTTCTTATTCATCGCTTATGAATATCTTAAAGTGTTGATAAATATCACATTAATTACTTATATTATAATTATACCATTCTATACAGCTCCCAACTGTCTATCTATTTATCTATTAGTTTCATTTATTTGTCTACCTATTAACATCGATATACGTACAATAACAATTATGTCTCTATTCACCAATTTGTCTATTCAACTATTTATATCTATAAAAGCACATCCACATATCTCCATTAATTAACTTCATTTAATTAGTGTCCATTCACCAATTTGTCTATTCAACTATTTATATCTATAAAAGCACATCCACATATCTCCATTAATTAACTTCATTTAATTAGTCTCCGTTCACCAATTTGTCTATTCAACTATTTGTATCTATAAAAGCACATCCACATATCTCCATTAATTAACTTCATTTAATTAGTCTCCATTCACCAATTTGTCTATTCAACTATTTATATCTATAAACGCACATCCACATATCTCCATTCATTAATTAAACCATTAATTAGTCTCCATTCACCAATTTGTCTATTCAACTATTTGTATCTATAAAACACATTCACATATCTCCATTAATTAATTTTTAATTTAATTAGTCTCCATTCACCAATTTGTCTATTCAACTATTTATATCTATAAAAGCACATTCACGTATCTCCATTAATTAATCTTCATTTAATTAGTCTCCTTTCACCAATTTGTCTATTCATTTATATCTATAAACGCACATCCACATATCTCCATTAATTAATTAACTTCATTTAATTAGTCTCCGTTCACCAATTTGTCTATTCATTTATATCTATAAATGCACATCCACATATCTCCATTAATTAATTAACTTCATTTAATTAGCCTCCGTTCACCAATTTGTCTATTTAACTATTTATATCTATAAACGCACATTCACATATATTCATTAATTAACTTCATTTATTAGCCTTCATTCACCAATTTTATTCAACTATTTATATCTATAAATACACATCCACATATCTCCATTAATTAACTTCATTTAATTAGTCTCCATTCACCAATTTGTCTATTCATTTATATCTATAAACGCACATTCACATATCTCCATTGATTAATTTTCATTTAATTAGCCTCCATTCACCAATTTGTCTATTCAACTATTTATATCTATAAACGCACATCCACATATATTCATTAATTAACCATTTAATTAGTCTCCATTCACCAATTTGTCTATTCATTTATATCTATAAACGCACATCCACATATTTCCATTCATTCATTAACACAAACTTCATTTAATTAGTCTCCATTCACCAATTTGTCTATTTAATTATTTGTATCTATAAAAACACATTCACATATCTCCATTCATTAATAAACTTTATAATTATCTATATACACAAATGAATGCATGTATATCTACTGATCATACGAAAAACAAGCATACTTAGATCATACAAGTTAAGTATTATTATTAAGTATTAATCATACAATTTAAGATCATACATATTTAAGTCATGAAATGCCGTGCATGTTTAAAAATGGCGCCAAAAATTCCTGTTCGCTGTTGCCACTTCGCGAATATCGTTTTCCAATACGATCGACCTCGTTAGCACCCAATACTTCTATTAAACCTTTTTTTTTTCTCTCTTAATAAATTCCTCAAAAATGCATCTTCAAAATTCCAATATATATCACTGCAACATTTTCTCGAGAGGTCATTGAGGTCGGGAACGAGTGCCATGCAGGGACTTCGAGCCTCATGTGCATGTTGTCAGTATGTTGGGTCAGACTGCATGTAACTTAATCGTTTGTTGTCAGTATGTTGGGTCAGACTGCATGTAACTTAATCGTTTGTTGTCAGTATGTTGGGTCAGACTGCACGTAACTTAATCGTTTGTTGTCAGTATGTTGGGTCAGACTGCATGTAACTTAATCGTTTGTTGTCAGTATGTTGGGTCAGACTGCACGTAACTTAATCGTTTGTTGTCAGTATGTTGGGTCAGACTGCATGTAACTTAATCGTTGTTGTCAGTATGTTGGGTCAGACTGCATGTAACTTAATCGTTTGTTGTGTTGGTCAGACTGCATGTAATCGTTTGTTGTCAGTATGTTGGGTCAGACTGCATGTAACTTAATCGTTTGTTGTATGTTGGGTCAGACTGCATGTAACTGTTGTGTATGTTGGGTCAGACTGTAATTATCGTTGTCAACTGCATGTTAATCGTTTGTGTATGTTGGGTCAGACTGCATGTAACTTAATCGTTTGTTGTATGTTGGGTCAGACTGCATGTTAATCGTTTGTTGTATGTTGGGTCAGACTGCATGTAACTTAATCGTTGTTGTATGTTGGGTCAGACTGCATGTAACTTAATCGTTTGTTGTCAGTATGTTGGGTCAGACTGCATGTAACTTAATCGTGTTTGTATGTTGTCAGACTGCATTAACTTAATCTGGGTCAGACTGCATGTAACTTTCGTTGTTGTATGTTGGGTCAGACTGCATGTAACTAATCGTTTGTTGTATGTTGGTCAGACTGCATGTAACTTAATCGTTTGTTGTATGTTGGGTCAGACTGCATGTAACTTAATCGTTTGTTGTTGTGGGTCAGACTGCATGTAACTTAATCGTTGTTGTATGTTGGGTCAGACTGCATGTAACTTAATCGTTTGTTGTAAGTATGTTGGGTCAGACTGCACGTAACTTAATCGTTTGCGGAGGTTTTGAGGAAATGTGTGTGAGTAAATGTAAGTACACGGAAGCACACATACTCATACAAATGAATATAGAGATATGTAAATATATATGTGTTTGTGTGTGTGTGTGCGCGCGCGCGCGCGCGCGCTGTGTGTGTGTGTGTGTGTGTGTGTGTGTTGTGTTTATGTGTGTGTGTGTGCTATGTGTATATATATACACATATATATATATAATGTGTATATATATATATATAATATATATATATATATATATATAGATAGATAGATAATAGATAGATATATATATATATACATATATACACAGTATATACACGCACACACACACATACACATATAGATAGATATGTAGATATAAACATATGTATATAAATATGTATATATATATATATAGATATATATATATAGATATATATATATATACATATATATAAACTGTGTAT